ATCAGAGCGTTCGTAGCTCGGCGTGAGCAGCTGCAACATGGGATACCTTTTTTGCCAGTGTCAAAGTATGAAATAAATAAAAAAATAAGTGTTATCCTCCTCTTTGGGTATTTCGGTAAAGTCACGTAGATAGAAAAATTATTTTAAAAAAATAATCACGACGTTTCGATCGCAACGCAAGCAATCGTCTTCAGGTGAAAAGAAAATACAGCAGGCGGACTGCTGAGGCACATGAAGTGTGCTAAGGGGCCGTCCCTAAATGACGTCACGCGATTTTGGACGATTTATGACCCCCCCCTCGTCACACGGCGTCACAAAAAGTCAGGCCCCCCCGCCTCAAATATGACGTCACAAAGCTCTCCCCCCCCCAAAACCATATTTCCATTTTGAAAATAAAACATGCTTCAAATCGCTTTAAACTATTGTCATTGTAGTGCGTATTTAATGTGGCGCTGCACTCTGATGTTGTAGGAGTGTTGTTATAACAATTAGTGTTCTTACAACAATTCTATATTTATTTAAATTTGCGCATTTTGATGTGACGTCAAATTTCTCAAACCCCCACCCCCCTCGTCACACATCGTCACAAATGTGTGACCCCCCCCCCCAGGTGCGTGACGTCATTTATGGACGCCCCCTAACACTGCTTGAGACTAGGCCATGAAGAAAACAATGCATTCTAGATTTCAAGCGTTCGTGACTGCAATGATTCATACTCTTAGGTTGTTTCGGTAAAGTCACGTAGGTAAAAAAAAATAGAAATTAAATAATAATAATGAATGAAAATAAATCAATTAAGTCACGACGTTTCGGAGGCAACACAAGTCTCCGTCTCCAGGTGGGACCGTCACAGCTAAATAAACTGTATCAGGTGAGGAAAAATCCAAGAGACAAGCTCTTAAATACAAGTTATTAAATACAAGTTAAGATCTTGTCTCTTGGATTTTTCCTCACTTGATACAGTAAATTTAGCTGTGACGGTCCCACCTGTGAGACGGAGACTTGTGTTGCCTTCGAAACGTCGTAATTTAATTGATTTATTTTCATTGATAATTATTTTATTTCTATTATTATTTTAAAAAAATATATTATTTTTTACCTACGTGACTTTACCGAAAAAACCTAAGAGTATGAAGACAATGCAGTCATATTGTTATTATCAGAGCCATGTCTGTTTGCATACTCACCACAAATACAGCGAGTGGTTAACGCGAACTTGATTCCATGCAAACGATTTATATTTGGTGTCTGGACACCTTAACACGCCTCCTGTTTCATTACCAGTAAGGGTAAAACGTCTTCTTACGTTTTCAAACTTAATTTTGCAATGTCTGTGATAAAGATTGCCAACTCAAGGATTTGGCCTACTCAGCAACTGGCCTCCGAAGCACGAAGATTTGTCTCTCGAGACACACAAAGACAAAGATCCCCCGTGTAGCCTCAACATATTTTTGGGGCAAGTGCTGTCCGCGAGCGCATGTCAAGGCCGGCACGGCACACGAGTTGGGTCGGTGGCCAGCACCACGCCCGACCGCCTTTCTCTCCCCAGTGACGATGTCTTTACGCACCGCGCCAGGTAATCACTTGAGGCCGAGTCGACCTAGGGGGAGGCCCAGGACCGGTTCGGATAATCGTCACCGGCGTTGGCCCACGAGCGGGAATCGAACTCGGGTCGCCGGGTTCGTAGCAAAGCGGCGTGCTAACCGCTGCACCACCGCTCCCCACGAGGGACACACAACAACAACAACAACCGCCATTCGCCACTAAGTGGCGGTGACGTCACCACAACACACAGGCCTATGGGTACATACACTTGTAGTGTAACAGCGCCGGCTGGTGGACAGCAGCGGCAACTGTGGTGGACAGACAGCGCACACGCCGGTGAGGGCGTGTGCACGGCGCGTGTGGGCAGGGCGGAGGAACTAGGACAAGGGTCACGGAGGAACCCGTACGGAGGCCCCTGGAACCTGCTAGCGGGTTCGAGAAGGGAGGAGCGGTCAGGGAGGAGACAGGGCCACGCTGGGAGCATAAAAGGAGCTGAGATCGGGCCGGAGGGGGGGGGGCTCAAGGCTGCCGGTTCTTTAGCGGCGACATCTCGTCGCCGTCGTTGCTAAACGTCTCCGCTGGACACTGCGCTACGGAGGATAGTAGTTGGCTATCTCAGTCGGCGCCGTCAGCGTTGTGTACAGGCTGGGCTGAGCTACTGTGGAGAGTGCGTGGACGAGACCGTGAAAGTTGTTAATGAAGAAAGTGCCTCTTAGAAACTCTGTCGCTGAAACGTTGACACTACACATTCACGGCACGAGACGGGCTCCATGGAGTAACCCGATGCGCTCTCTTAACTCTCCACATCCACTCGGTCTCCGCACTGGCCTCTCGCTCATCACGGTCGACTGCGTATGGTGCAAAAGAAGTTCACCGTACGTGCAGCATGTTGCTGTGAACAAGGGCCTTCCCTAATTTTGTAGCTTTCGTGACTGCAGGAATTATTGTTTGGTTCTTTCGGTAAAGTCACGTATAAAGATAAAATAATAAATTAAATAATAGCATACGACGTTTCGATTGCAACACAAGCAATCATCATCAGGTATAAATGAAATAGCAACAAAAAATCTAACCAGAAAACTATAGACAGACATATAAGCAGACAGATATCACCAAGATACATAGAGAGAGTAACACAGGTACAGAGAGGGGGATCGTCTCTGTGGGGTGGCCTTAAATAGACAGAGGGGGGCGGAGGCAGAGGGAGGGGTTAACCGCCTCCCTCTATTTAAGGCCACCCCACAGAGACGATCCCCCTCTCTGTACCTGTGTTACTCTCTCTATGTATCTTGGTGATATCTGTCTGCTTATATGTCTGTCTATAGTTTTCTGGTTAGATTTTTTGTTGCTATTTCATTTATACCTGATGATGATTGCTTGTGTTGCAATCGAAACGTTGTATGCTATTATTTAATTTATTATTTTATCTTTATACGTGACTTTACCGAAAGAACCAAAGAATAAGGGCATTCCCACCCAGTTGCTTCGGCAATATTATCAGAATGGCAATGTTGTATTTATACCGCAGCAGGAGGAATCCGATGATCTATGAAGCTATTTTTTTCTTTTCACAGATGTCCGGTAAAGGGGCATGGGGTCAGAAGGTTATAGCAACAGAGAGTTTCAAAAAAACACGACGGGAGTGGCAAAGCATATGACAGGTAGACAAATCACTTTAAAAACATATACAGATAAAACTAAACTATATATTATACCCTCTGGTTCTTTCGGTAAAACCACGTAGATATAAGAAGAAAAAATAATGAAAAGAACACGACGTTTCGGTCGTAACACAAGCGTCCGTCATCAGGTGAGAAGTAATGATCTGCTGTTGTGCTTTATATAGGCACAGGAAGGAGGGGGGAACTACACATATATTAAATTTCGATTGAAAGCTTTCATGACTGCAGGGATTCATCTTCTTGGTTCTTTCGGTAAAGTCACGTAGAAGGGAAATAATAAAATAATGGAAATAAAACATAATAAAATAATTCTCACGACATTTCGGCCACAACGCAAGCAGCGTCTTTCCGACAGACCTGTTCTTCACCTGAGGACGGCTGCTTGCGTTGTGGCCGAAACGTCGTGAGAATTGTATTTTATGATGTTTTAGTTTTATTATTTTATTATTTCCCTTCTACGTGACTTTACCGAAAGAACCAAGAAGATACATATATATATATTATTAACAGCTAAAAGCCCACTGAGCTATTAGCTGCTATTGTCAGAAGCGACCTGGTCAACATGTAGCTTATCATCATCATCACGTGGACATTTATAGCATCAAGACAGTCTAAATAATCGAGACGCACGTTTCTAAGCTCCGATTAAGTTACCTAACGCGACGTGGGGGTGGGATATTGAGATGTAACTCAGAGGAGGCCGCCACGCGTCCCACTATTAAGTCGTTAGGCGACATTCTATCCGTGGGGGGGGAGGAATTCGATCAGAAGGCCGACCACGCGTGTGGCCTTCGCACAGCAAGGGCCTTCAACAGGACCCGGACCAAACGGAGGCCTCCAGGTGGCTCAGAGGTCGGAGGCGCTCAGAGGATGGGTTCGAATCCGGGTCTCAGCCAGTGCCCCGTGGTTAAACCGGGAGTCTCTAGTGCAGGAAGTTGATGGTTTCACGCTGGTCACCAGTGACTCACACGGAGACTCAAACTCATATAGAGATCCACAGACTTACAAAGAGACACATAGACTCACACGGAGACCGATAGACTCACGCAGAAACACAGACTCACATAGAGATCCATAGACTTACATAGAGACACATAAAATAACACAGATACCCATAGATTCACACAGAGACTCATTAACTCACATAGAGACCGATAAACTCACAGAGACCTATAGACTCACATAGAGACCCATATAATCACATAGAGACCAATAGACTCACACAAATACCCATAGACTCACACATAGACACATAGACTCACACCGATACTCATAGACTCACATAGAGACCCAAAGACTCACATAAAGACCCATAAACTCACATAGAGACCAATAGACTCACATAGAGACCCATAGACTCATATAGAGACCCATAGACTCACATTGAGACTCACAAACTCACACTACGACTCATACACTCACACAGAGACCCATAGACTCACATAGAAACCCATCGACTCACACAGAGACCCATAGACTCACACAGAGACCCATAGACTCACATTGAGACCAGCACACTCACACGCACCCCCCACGTGAAACAGAAGCACTGAATCCGCGCGGTGCCAAGGAGCGAGGCGAGGCTCCAGGACCCCGCACGGCCACGAGCGAGGCAGCTGGTGGCCGGGGTCGAGGCTCAGCACGGAGCGGCAGCTGAACGCGCGCAGGGCGAGAGCGTCCCAAGAGCAGTGGCACTGCGGTCGCCTTCATCCAGCAGTGGATTGATCACGACGATGTCGACGGAGGGGGAGTGGGTTCGACTCGCACACTCACCCGTCAGTTGATGCGCTCATGGTTCCACGTCCTCTCTGCGTCTCCCGCTCTGTCTTTCTCTCCTCTCGCTCTCTGCTCTCTGTGTGTGTGTGTGTCGCGTCCTCCCTCCGTCCCCTTCGTCCCGGTCTCAAACCGTGGCACCCCCGTGAACTGCAGGGTCAAGGAGGGGGTGATAGTGATGGTGTGGTGAGCCTCGCGACGATTTTCACGCGCGGGGGGGACGGGGATTCAGTTGCGTAATGAGTTACGGGCCTTGTCTGGGTGTCTGTGTTCGAGTGTGGCTCTCGCTCGCTCTCTCGCTCTCTCTCTCTCTGCTCGCCTCTCACTCTACCACCCAACCCTCTTCCCCCTGGCATTCACAAACAGTTTGTTGCTAGGTGAGTGCGTTGACGGGCCGTGCATTTTAAAACCCATCAATGCCCGCGACCCCCCCCCCTCCAACGCTCCCCATCTCCTCCTCCAAACCTCCCTCGCCTCGCCTCCTCTCCCCCTCCTCCTTGGCTCCTCTGTCACCGCCAGGGCCACGGGTGGCTAGGAGATGTTAACTCCCTCGCCCGGTATACAGGAGGTTCGTGGGTTCGATCCGGACCCTGACGTCAGCTGTATATTTGGAGTTTGCATATCTCTCTCCCCGTGGTGAGATGTTAACTCCCTCGCCCGGTATACAGGAGGTTCGTGGGTTCGATCCTGATCCTGACGTCAGCTGTATATTTGGAGTTTGTGTGTCTCTCTCTCTCATCATCATCATCACGGTGGCTAGGAGATGTTAACTCCCTCGCCCGGTGTACAGGAGGTTCGTGGGTTCGATCCCGACCCTGACGTCAGCTGTATATTTGGAGTTTGTGTGTCTCTCTCTCATCATCATCATCACGGTGGCTAGTGGATGTTAACTCCCTCGCCCGGTATATAGGAGGTTCGTGGGTTCGATCCTGACCCTGACGCCTGATGTATATTTGGAGTTTGCATATCTCTCTCCCCGTGGTGAGATGTTAACTCCCTCGCCTGGTGTACAGGAGGTTCATGGGTTCGATCCGGACCCTCGCGCCAGCTGTATATTTGGAGTTTGCGTCTAACTCTCTCTTCCAAATGGTGAGATGTTAACTACCTCGCCTGGTATACAGGACGGCGTGGGTTCGATCCCGACCCTGACGACGCCTGCTGCTGTATATATGGAGATTGCGTGTCTCTCTCTCTCATCATCATCACGGTGGCTAGGAGATGTTAACTTCCTCGCCTGGTATACAGGAGGTCGTGGGTTCGATCCCGACCCTGACGACGCCTGCTGCTGTATATTTGGAGTTTGTGTGTCTCTCTCTCATCATCATCACGGTGGCTAGGAGATGTTAACTTCCTCGCCTGGTATACAGGAGGTCGTGGGTTCGATCCCGGCTCTGACGACGCCTGCTGCTGTATATTTGGAGTTTGTGTGTCTCTCTCCCCGTGGGGAGATGTTAACTTCCTCGCCTGGTATACAGGAATCGTGGGTTCGATCCCGACCCTGACGACGCCTGCTGCTGTATATTTGGAGTTTGCGTGTCTCCCTCTCTTCACCATGGTGAGATGTTAACTTCCTCGCCTGGTATACAGGAGGTCGTGGGTTCGATCCCGAACCCTGACGACGCCTGCTGCTGTATATTTGGAGTTTGCGTGTCTCCCTCTCTTCACCATGGTGAGATGTGAACTACCTCGCTCGGTATACAGGAGGTCGTGAGTTCGATCCTGTCCCTGACAACGCCTGCTGATGTTGCTGTATATTTGGAGTTTGCGTCTAACTCTCTATGTCTCTCCCCGTGGTCGCGTGGATATTTCATCCGGGCCCTCCGGGTTTTCCCCTTCCACGTTTAGAATCAACGACGTCTCGCCTTCATACAATATTTAGCTGCTGCCTATACATTTATACACGACGACGACGATGATGATGAGAAGCCACTTCCGTTGAGCCATCGTTTGCGACAGCCACGTGGTCGCTTCTGATCAAGAGCTACCGTAGCTCAGTGGGGCTTTACCTAGTGAAACATTTTTTTAAAATGTGTTTATAGTTCACAGCATAAGAAGACGGGGAAGTGAAATGGGCAATTCTCTGCGCCAGTGTTTACCTGAATGAGGGTTGCTTAAGCAGCAAACAGTGGACATTATTTGACGCATGTGTAAACACAAACACACACACGCACGAGGCTCGTGGCCAGGGTAACGATATCTGAAGCCTCGCGCTGTTTAGCTAAGGTGTGGTGGGCACAGATAGCTCGCTGGGCGCATCGGCTGTGTCAAGTTCATTTGGTTTAACCGGAGATTGGGAACTCGAGGGCACCAGGGTGACAGCCTCGCTCGCACGAGGGCAGGAAGCGAGCGAGCGAGCGGGCGGTGGTTGGGTTAGTGAGTGGATGGGTGAGATAGCGAGTGAGTCAATGGTTGAGTGGGTGAGTGAGTGGGTGAGTGAGTGGGTGAGTGAGTGGGTGAGTGAGTGAGTGGGTGAGATGGTGAATTAATGATTAAGTGGGTGAGTGAGTGGGTGAGTGAGTGAGTGGGTGAGTGAGTGGGTGAGTGAGTGGGTGAGTGAGTGAGTGGGTGAGTGAGTGGGTGAGTGAGTGGGTGAGATGGTGAATTAATGATTGAGTGGGTGAGTATGTGAGTGAGTGGGTGAGTGAGTGAATGATTGAGTGGATGAGTGGGTAGGTGAGATAGTTAGTGAGTGCATGATTGAGTGCGTGAGTGAGTCAATGGGTGAGATAGTGAGTTAGTCAATGGTTGAGTGGATGAGTGAGTAGGTGAGATGGTGAGTTAATGATTGAGTGGGTGAGTATGTGAGTGAGTGGGTGAGATGGTGAGTGAGGGAGTGGGTGAGCGAGTGGGTGAATGGTGAGTGAGTCAATGCTTGAGTGGATGAGTGGGTAGGTGAGATAGTTAGTGAGTATATGATTGAGTGCGTGAGTGGGTCAGTGGGTGAGATGGTGAGTTAGTCAATGATTGAGTGGGTAAGTGAGTGAGTGGGTGAGATGGTGAGTTAATGATTGAGTGGGTGAGTATGTGAGTGAGTGGGTGAGATGGTGAATGAGTCAATGGTTGAGGGGGTGAGTGAGTGGGTGAGTGAGTGAGTGAGTGAGTCAATATGCTTGAGTGGATGAGTGGGTAGGTGAGATAGTTATTGAGTACATGATTGAGTGCGTGAGTGGGTCAGTGGGTGAGATGGTGAGTTCGTCAATGATTGAGTGGGTGAGTGAGTGGGTGAGATGGTGAGTTAATGATTGAGTGGGTGAGTATGTGAGTGAGTGGGTGAAATGGTGAGTGAGGGAGTGGGTGAGCGAGTGGGTGAATGGTGAGTGAGTCAATGATTGAGTGGATGAGTGGGTAGGTGAGATAGTTAGTGAGTATATGATTGAGTGCGTGAGTGGGTCAGTGGGTGAGATGGTGAGTTAGTCAATGATTGAGTGGGTAAGTGAGTGAGTGGGTGAGATGGTGAGTTAATGATTGAGTGGGTGAGTATTTGAGTGAGTGGGTGAAATGGTGAGCTGAGGGAGTGGGTGAGCGAGTGGGTGAATGGTGAGTGAGTCAATGATTGAGTGGATGAGTGGGTAGGTGAGATAGTTAGTGAGTATATGATTGAGTGCGTGAGTGGGTCAGTGGGTGAGATGGTGAGTTAGTCAATGATTGAGTGGGTAAGTGAGTGAGTGGGTGAGATGGTGAGTTAATGATTGAGTGGGTGAGTATGTGAGTGAGTGGGTGAGATGGTGAATGAGTCAATGGTTGAGGGGGTGAGTGAGTGGGTGAGTGAGTGAGTGAGTCAATGATTGAGTGGATGAGTGGGTAGGTGAGATAGTTAGTGAGTATATGATTGAGTGCGTGAGTGGGTCAGTGGGTGAGATGGTGAGTTAGTCAATGATTGAGTGGGTAAGTGAGTGAGTGGGTGAGATGGTGAGTTAATGATTGAGTGGGTGAGTATGTGAGTGAGTGGGTGAGATGGTGAATGAGTCAATGGTTGAGGGGGTGAGTGAGTGGGTGAGTGAGTGAGTGAGTCAATATGCTTGAGTGGATGAGTGGGTAGGTGAGATAGTTATTGAGTACATGATTGAGTGCGTGAGTGGGTCAGTGGGTGAGATGGTGAGTTCGTCAATGATTGAGTGGGTGAGTGAGTGGGTGAGATGGTGAGTTAATGATTGAGTGGGTGAGTATGTGAGTGAGTGGGTGAGATGGTGAGTGAGGGAGTAAGTGAGTGAGTGGGTGAATGGTGAGTGAGTCAATGCTTGAGTGGATGAGTGGGTAGGTGAGATAGTTAGTGAGTACATGATTGAGTGCGTGAGTGGGTCAGTGGGTGAGATGGTGAGTTAGTCAATTATTGAGAGGGTGAGTGAGTGGATGAGATGGTGAGTTAATGATTGAGTGGGTGAGTATGTGAGTGAGTGGGTGAGATGGTGAGTGAGTCAATGGTTGAGTGGGTGAGTGGGTGAGATGGTGAATGAGGGAGTGGGTGAGTGAGTGGGTGAATGGTGAATGAGTCAATAATTGAGTGGATGAGTGGGTAGGTGATATAGTTAGTGAGTACATGATTGAGTGCGTGAGTGGATCAGTGGGTGAGATGGTGAGTTAGTCAATGATTGAGTGGGTGGGTGAGTGGGTGAGATGGTGAGTGAGTAGTCAATGATTGAGTGGGTGAGGTGTGAGTGAGTCAATGATTGAATGCATTTGTGGGTGAGTGGATGAGATGGTGAGTGAGTCAATGATTGAATGGGTGAGTAGGTAAGTGAATAGGTGAGATAGTGAGTGAATCAATGATTGAGTGGGTGAGTGGGTAAGTGAGTAAGTGGGTGAGATGGTGAGTTAGTCAATTATTGAATAGGTGAGTGAGTAGGTGAGATGGTGACTGAATCAATGGTTGAGGGGATGAGTGAGTGGTTGACATGGTGAGTGCGTCAATGATTGAGTGGGTGAGTGAGAGATTGTGATGGTGAGTGACTCTCTGATTGATGGAGAGGATGAATGGGTAAGTGAGTGGGTGACGTAGGTGAGTGAGTCAATAAATGAGTGGGTGAGTAAATGGGTGAGAGTGGGTAAGTGAGCAAGTGGGTGAGATGGTGAGTAAGTCAATGATTGCGCTAGTGAGTGAGTGAATGGTGCGTTTGTGTGTATAGGTCTCTGTGTTCATCTATGGGTATCTATGTGGGTCTATGTCTCTCTGTGTGTGATGGTATAGGTCTTTGTGTCGGTATATGGGTATCTCTCTGTGTGAGTCGATGGGTCTCTGTGCCTATAGGTATCTGCGCGAGTCTATGAGACTCTGTGTGAGTATATAGGTGTCTGTGTCTGAATGTATCTATCTGAGTCTATGGGTCTCTGTGTGAGTATTTGAGTATCTGAATCTCT